ATATATATATATATATATATATATATATATATATATATATTACAATATACATATATACATGTATTCTTTCGAATCCCCACGACCGGTACTCCAGAGAGATGATGGTCCTATTCTCTCGATGGATGCAGGTCAGACTGCAGCGGCGACACCCTCCAACGCCATTAATTTATGCCAAAATGCACCTAATTATATAAATATATTTACTTAAATGTATTAATGGTATTATTATCCACAATAATGATTTATAAGAAGTATAATAATATTATATCTAAAAATGTTAATTAAAAAAAATCTTATAACTTTTAAAAATCTTGCGGAAATTTTACGAAAAAATTATAGATTATTATAAATAATTATGATAATAATATAATATTGTAACGAAATAGACGAGACCTCCCCTTCAGTAATGAAAACGGCGTAAAATTGTATTTTTTTTTCTCCGACCGAACATCCGTTCTTTCCATACCAACATCGCGATCTTCCGCGATTCCATCGACTCCCATCAGAACAAGCAGATAGTATTCGGAGGCAGGTAACCAATATCCTTTCCAAAGCCAAGTCTCCATTACTAGACAATAACAACTAGACAAGAAACAACTCGCTCTCCAAGAACTGAACAAAGACACTGATGTTATCGTATTACTACTAGACAAAAGTAACACGACGGTAGTCATGAATACATCAGACTATAAGAAGAAAATAAAAACTCTCCTCTCTAATAAAACATATTGAAGACGAACAATTCGCGTCGAAAAACAGACGCTACAATTAAATTCAAATAAGCGCGAGATTTCATGTAAACAACGCTTGTATCACGCTTGTATAATCCGCGCGTTGGACCCCCATCGCTGGCCACGCTACCGACCGCTTCACCGAACATATCCGCGAAATCGCCGAGCACGTTCAGCGAATCTCGCAAATCTCTTGGCGGAATCATCGCCGGCGACGTCAGTTCCAGAATCCGTTTGGCCGACCTGTACCCGATTCTTCCCGATTTACGGCCGACTCGAGTATATTAACTGACTCCGATGGTTTTTGTCTATTACCGGCAAGACAGCAGAGAAAATGCTGATTTCGATGAATACCCATTTTGATACCTGAAGGCGATCCTAGGGTACTACCTAACAAGCCTAGCAGGAGCTTCTGGTGGATCACTTCCGTCTCCAAAGCACACAAAATTATTCTCACAAGACGCTTCTTAACTTGGCCTCTTAGGCAGGCCTTGTGTGCAACATCCGTCGCTATCGGTGACAAAACAGAAAGCTCCCTGTCTCCGAGCCGCAGCAAAGTTTAAATCCCAATTCCGGCTCGAAAAACCCGTTCCAAATAAGATTTTAATGTGACGATACTTTTGACGGCTATCAGCTGATCGGCAATTGCGTCGAACATCGTGTGCAACGTCAGACACCCCGCGCATCGTCTCACACTGCGCGCCTACAATTGCGACGCGTCGAATTCTTGGAAGAACCGCGAGTAAAAGCCATTGTACGATTCTCAGAATTCGCGAGCATTTTCGGCGAACAATGCTCGAGATTTCGAGAACAGAAATCATTTTTACCGTGTATATAGTATATTGTAAACAGTCAAAACGAAGTTTGTAAAATCCAGTTAGTACAGTAATTTCTATAGTTTAAGAATATACTTGTGGTTCACACAAAATCTTTTCTATTTTATTCTACTGAAACTCTCTCTCTTCTTGTCAATCCGACTGATGCTATTCCGCAAAACCGTGAGACCCGCGAACCGACGTATAACCGTTTTAATATAATTATTACAATTATTATAATTATAATAATTATCATTATTATAATTATTAGATTATAAATATAGATTATTATAAATAGATATTATAGATATTGTGGTGTTGGAGGAGCGTTGTCCACGATATGAAGAATTTTGATGACGGAAATAAGATGTTGGCCGCAGTAGGATTCGAACCTAGGTCCTCAGGTGTATGAGTCTTGAGCGCTACCATGCGGGCCACGGTGCTTTTCGTGTATGTTTTGCTAGGTATTAGTTGTGTGAGCGGGGGACCGCCCACAATATTATAATGTAGATAGATATTATAATATAGATTATTATAAATTATATTATTATTATTTATTTGCGGGTGGTTAGTTCAACGTTATATGAAGGACCGTGCACCAAGGCGGGAAGTATCGGAACAATTCCGGAATAAATTGTAAAAGTATGGTTTATTCATCATGTATACAATCAGCGATCGAAGAGAGCAATATGGTTGTCGTTAGTTTTAGCTATCGAAGTACACTGCGGTTCGCGCACGACACAACGGAAATCTTCTTGCGGAAGCATTCTTGCGGAAACGCGGCAACGACGGAAATCTTCTTATGTGATAAATCGTTTCAAGTCATGGTTTTGGTCGGCCTTTGTGTACACTTCACATGAGGTCACTCCACTTTTACGGCAAATGCGGCAGCGATAATGAATTTTGATTGGAATACGAAAAGGCGATAAAAATGACGACAAAACGGAGAACGCTATTGAACTATGTCTAGATTTCGCAATCTGTATCGATTGGGAGCGATAAACAAACTCGCGCGTGCGCGACGAATGCTCATTGGTCCTAATTTTGAGGATCGTACAGGTAAGCCGCGCCGCGGATTCTACAGAGCATATTGTTGTAGCCCGGATGGATTACAAGATTGAATTTAAGGAAAATCGGGTTCACCGAGCCTAAGGAGTTAGAACTCCGAGCAGGATATTGATAGAAGATTTTCCTGCAAAATACTAGTACTTACTTATTAATTAGCTAGTTTATTAGTTGCGACTTCTTGACAATGTTTCGTATGAATCTCGCTATTATTGATAACGACAAACCGTTACGTAGTACGACTACCCTGTTACTTATTGTGACTGCCCGCTCTCGGCGAGTTAGCAATCGTTTTTATAGTATTTTGCAGTGTCGCGTTTTATCGCGTTATAACTCTAAAATCAGAACATGTATAGTCAAAGCAGCGTGCGTTCTTCGTTCGCGCTTTGCCTAGGAATTTGCAGATTTGCGGGCTTGCATTTCCGGCCGGCATTTCCGTAGCAGAACGGTTGCTATGTCGAGACACGAGAATTATCGTGGTAGCATTATATTCGGGCTACAACATTCCTCTCCCATTGGGAAAGAAAAACGGTAGAACGGAATTTTCTTTTTAATGCATTATAAAAATCTTTTAACGACAATATAATTTATGTTATAATCGTTTAGCTTAAATTTTTAAAATCGCGAACTTTCGTTTCTTCTGACGCCTGAATCTACTGTGCGTAGTTCGGTATTTTTATTTACATTTTTCGCTTCTCTTTTTTTTATAATTATACTTATTGTACTGTTACGTCCAGTGGATTCCACGATTCTTTTCTTTCCAAAAAAAAAAGACGAATAACATAATTTCCTCTATATAAGAATAGCGATTTCTTCTTCTATGAGATACTGAGTTTCAAGAAACAAGGAAAAGATTTGCACTCTATTATAACGATACTTTTAATTTTAAAATACGCAAAGAATTATTATTATTATTACTACTCCTCAAGTTGGAGCTGTCGCAAAATACTGTCATATAGGCACGTGCCAAGCGAAAGAAATATCTAACACAAACATCCCACCCTTATCATCTCAAAGTTCTTGCCACCGTCATTGCCCCTTAACCAAGATTCGGACCCTGATCATTTACATAAATAGGGTCTAAATAATATCATTTATATAAATATTATATAAATAGGCTGTTTCTGGACTGTGGCAACATTATTAAGTATTTTTTCATTAGTGTCATAGCTTCTATCCATTCAATCAATCATTTAAAACTCGAACACTCCGACTCAGTGCACCAAGATTCCAACTTTCTGAAGAAAAGCGAGACTTGTTCTTTTCGAAATAACCGCCCCAGCTAATCAACAGTGAGTTCTACATTTACTAATTATCAATTAATTATAAATTTCAGATTTTTATTTCTTTCCTTTGCTCCATGTCGCTCAAATCTACTTCTTCTTCTCCTTTTCTTTCTCCCTTTAATTAAGTGGTCTGAGCTATGAGCTACAAGGTTCCGGTTGCTTTTCCTTTCTCTTTAATTAACTGCTCTGAGCTATGCGAGGCTCCCGGTTGCTTTCCTTACTCTCTCTTTATTTAACCAGTCTGAGCTATACAAAACTCCTGGTTGATCTTTCCTTTCTCTCCCTCATACGCATTCACACCTCTCTTCATTTATCAATCCTTTTCCTCATAGTGAATCAAATGGAAGTGCCAGCTCCTTAAATTTGACAACGCGATACTAAAAAACGACTCCATCGTCGTCGTTGTTGCGATTGGAATCGACGGAGATATCAAAAAAGTATCAAGAAGTCCAAGCAAACATTAAAAGAATCGATCAGACTGTCAACATTAACTATTTCTGCTTCTGAATCCTCCTTTAACCAATCTTCACCATCGCTTTCTCACTTGTCCATTGAACCAGTTTTACTATCTTCATCTAACTCTGTTCGTCCTTCTGCCTCGATACAACGGCAGTATCAATTAATCGCATCTAATTATTCTCTCGTGCATCCATCCGATGCAGAATACCTTCTCGATTTCTACGCCCTATCCCCAAGTCCTCTCCGAGATGGCGAACCCCTCTTCGAAGATCTAGAAGAAAAAGAATCCCATCCTATTGACCTAACTCCACTTCCCGAGGAACATCAAGAATCCCTCTTTAACCTTCATGTATTAATCTTCAGTTACACCATATATATATTATATTCAATTTGTTATTAAAAATTTTTGTATTTTTGTAATTTTTCCTTTATTTAGTTTATTATTATGTAATCACTAGTTTAAGTTAATCAAAGAATTAATTGTATACAAAGAATTATTTGTATTATTAATTGTATTATCGCGTAAGATTATCATATCAAAGATTGATTCACATATTTACACTCTCCCTCGTAAAAATCCTATCTGATGGCCTCTATATTTATGTAATACCCGCGATATCACACATACATACACACCTACACAAATATTTCTTCCCCTCTTTTATTATGTATACCTTTTTTCGAATTAAAATTAATGTTTAAATTTAAATTTTTATTTTTATTTTCTTTAAAAACCCTCTTTTTTCCCTATCCCATCACATGAGGTCTTTCTCTGGTAATAAGAATTAAGTTTCTTTACCAAAAAATGACCGATGAACGTACGTCTACAGCGAGGCATCAGCCTAGCGTTTCTTTATCGCTAATCCAATACCGAGACATAAACAGTGCGTTCGATTCGAGATCATGTTTCCACGCCTAACTCTCGAGAGAGCAGCCGTTCGTCCTTTCGAGCTCATTCAATTCTCATTCATTTAAATTCTTAATTCTTAATTTCACAATTTACTTTGGGCTAGACGTAACAGTACCTATTACAATTATAATTATTATTATTCCGCTAAAACTAACGGGGTAGGCAAAATGTACGTTTTGGAATACGCTCGTCTTCTCATCTAGTTGCTTATTTAATTCATCTATTATTATACTTAATTTTCTTAATTCTAACTCTGAAGCTGTTCGGACTTGTTTATATAAATTTGCATCTCGCGTCTGT